CATAGTGTGGATGGATATGCACATTTTGTTTATCCATTCGTCCTTCAGTGAACATTTGGGTTGCTTCCACCTTTTAACTTGTGTAGCTTTTTGTGGGGGGATATTTTGGCTCTCAAAAGGAGAATGAAAAAATTAGGTTCAGTTGCTAGGATTACTCACATGAGGGTAGGAATGGTCAAGACTATAAAAGGGGTAGAAATATATTATGTATGAGGCAGTATCTACCTAGTACCAAATTAGAGAAAGAGATGGTATAATTTGGAAAGGTGGTTTTTTTTCTGATAACCCTTTTATCCACATTATTGGCGTCTTTCTGCCTGCACTGAGAGTGCTTTATAGGTTCTAACACTTCAGTTGGTTTTCTTTCTCTAAAGCTGTGCTGACATTTACTAGTTAAGTGAACATTTTATTTTGTCTCCAAAAGGACTAGGACAGAAAGGAAGACTGAGTCACTTTGTTATTGAGATTTTCCCCCATTCCTAGGATCATTACATAACACCTGTGTCAGAGGACTGCTCTTAAGAACATGGTGTGTATACCTCATAGTTTCTGACTCTACTCCTAGATACATTTTACATTCAGCTGCATCTAGCATTTTGGCTTGTCATGGAATGTTCTCCTACTGCACTTTCAATGATGGTGTACATTAGTTGATTCTAACCAGAAATGCACATTGGAGTGACTCGTGGTACGTTTTTAAAACCCACATGTCTGGACACTCTTCTGAGAGTAATCAAATCAGAATCGATGGTACCAGGGTGCCAGGGCTCCAGAATGAGCATTCTTAGTTTTATTTTGTTCTCAGGATGTTCTCAAATAGAATTTCACTGGTAGCATTCTGAACTGATTCTCAACATAGAGTTTTTAAGGAAATTTTAATTTATCCTTTTTCATAGGATAGCAATGGATTAAATTTGTAAATTAATTTCTGATAGATTTGTAAGCAATGAAGAAAGATTTTGAATGCACAAAATAGAATTTCCAAAGTTCTGAAAACATGTTTCATTGTATACCATATCTGTTGTATGTTGATTTCATTCAACAGATCTTTATTGAGTACCTGCTTATGTGCTAGGTGCTAGTCTTAAGAATTGAGGGAATGGGCTGGGTGCTGTGGCTCACACCTGTAATCCCAGCACTTTGGGAGGCTGAGGCTGGCGGATCACAAGGTCAGGAGATTAAGACCATTCTGGCTAACACAGTGAAACACCATCTCTACTAAAAATACAAAAAATTAGCTGGGCGTGGTGACATGGGCCTGTAGTCCCAGCTACTTGGGAGGCTGAGGCAGAAGAATCACTTGAACCTGGGAGGTGGAGGTTGGAGTGAGCCAAGATCACACCACTGCACTCCAGCCTGGGCAACAGAGCAAGACTCTGTCTAAGAAACAGCAACAACAACAACAACAACAACAACAAAAGAATTGAGGGGATGACTGCTGAGTATATACCTTAAAGAAAGGAAATTAGTATATCAAAGAGATATCTGCAGTCTCATATCTGTTGCAGCACCTGTCACAATAGCCAAGATTTGGAAGCAACCTAAGTGCCCATCAAAAGATGAATGGATAAAGAAAATGTACTTATACACTGTGGAGTAATATTCAGCCATAGAAAAGAGTGAGATCCTGCCATTTGCAACAGCATAGATGGAACTGGAGATCATGTTAAGTGAAATAAGCCAGGCACAGAAAGACAAACATCACATGTTCTCACTTATTTGTAGGATCTAAAAATCAAAATAATTGAACCCATGGAGATAGAGAGTAGAAGGGTGGTTGCCAGTGGCTGGGAAGGGTAGTGGGGCGGGGGGAGCGGGCTGGTAGGGAGGTGGGGATTGTTAATGGATTCAAAAAAGTAGAAAGAATGAATTCGATAGTACAACAGGGTGACTATAGTCAGTAATAACTTAATTGTACATTTAAAAATAATCTTAAAAGAGTGTAATTGGGTTATTTGAATTCAAAGAATAAATGCTTTAGGGGATGGATATCCCATTCTCCATGATGTGATTATTACACATTGTATGCCTGTATCAGAACATCTCATGTACCCCCTAAATATATATACCTACTATGTACCCACAAAAATTAAAAATTAAAAAAAGTAATTGAAAAAAAAAGTAATTGAGGGGTCAGGTTCCTATTTTGTCTGTTACCTTGTGGAGCTTATGTTCTAGTTCCATTCATTTGGATTTTATTGTCTGGACATAACAATAGCAATCACTGACATGGTTCACTTTCTGTTCTCAGTGCTTCCCATATTTTGATTTATTTAATCCTTACAACAACTCTGTGAAGTAGGAACTATCATAATCCTTATTTTGTAGATGAGGAAACTGAGGTAGAGAGGTTAAATAATATGCCCAAGCTACACATCTATTAAATAGTGAAGTGGAATTTAAAGCCAGGCAGTCTGACTCCAGAGTCCCTACACTCCCCTACCCCTTTCTGTCACCTCTGAGATATATTAGCAAATACACAGTCTGCTTTAAGCCAGGCAGCAGCCAGAAACTATGCAGTTTCAAAAGTTCTCATAATATCCTGCTAGTCCCCTTGATTCGAAGATACAATTCCTTATATCCTAATTTGGAAATTTGTGCCATTTTCCCCATCACCTCAAGAAATGTTGGCAGACTCTATTATTGGATTTATGGTCACCTATTGTAATGAAGGAAACAGGAAAGAAATTTTGGACTATAGGAGGAAAAGATTCAGTGTCAAAGTGAGAGGTCATAGGAGACTTAGTATTCTCTGAAGCAGCTTCCTGATGCTTCTATGTTTTCTTTCTTTCTTTCTTTCTTTTTTTTTTTTTTTTTGAGATGGAGTCTTGCTCTGTTGCCCAGGCTGGAGTGTAATGGCTTGATCTCGGCTCACTGCAACCTCCACCTCCCGGTTTCAAGCAATTCTTCTGCCTCAGCCTCCCAAGTAGCTGGGACTACAGGCATGCACCACCACGCTCAGCTAATTTTTGTATTTTTAGTAGAGATGGGGTTTCACCATGTTGGGCAGGCTGGTCTCAAACTCCTGACCTCAAGTGATCCACCTGCCTCAGCCTCCCAGAGTGCTGGGATTACAGGCGTGAGCCACCGTGCCTGCCTTCCTGATGCTTCCATGTTTTCTTTTCTTTCTTTTCTTTTCTTTTCTTTTTTTTTTTTTTTTTGAGACGGAGTGTCACTCTGTCGCCCAGGCTGGAGTGCAGTGGTGTGATCTTGGCTCACTGCAACTTCCACCTCCGGGGTTCAAGTGATTCTCCTGCCTCAGCCTCCTGAGTGGCTGGGATTGCAGGAGGCAAGCGCCACCACACTCAGCTAATTTTTGTATTTTTAGTAGAGATGGGGTTTTACCATGTTCATCAGGTAGGTCTTGAACTCCTGACCTCATGCTCTGCCTGCCTCGGCCTCCCAAAGTACTGGGATTACAGGCGTGAGCCACCATGCCTGGCCTGCTTCTATGTTTTCTAATTGTATATTATTGTGCTTTATTTCCCATTTTTCTTTTAATTTTTGCGAAGCAGTTGTTTTAGCTTAGGCTATCCTGAATGACCCCTGTCAGTGGTATGCTGGCGTTCTCTCGAAGGAACTCCCTGTCCCCACCATTCCCCTTTTTTCTAAAATATATACCTTAAATATTCACTATCATTCATATCATCACTAGGGAGCCCAGTCTGTATGGACGGACTTGCAAACAGAAGTTTAGCTGGGATCATTGATCGTACAAAGTTATGAGAATACAACCCACTGTGTTTCCTTGATCTAAGTCAAAAGCTCAAACAAGACACAAAGGAAGCATTTATTTGGTTTTTCTTGGTTGAAACATCCTGTTCCAGCCTCATGATGTCTTTGAGAGTCTGATAATTCCCTGCCTGTTGAACTGAGCATGATTCCTGATTCTGTTGGAGTTTGAGGATGACTTCCAGCACTCATATCTTCTTATCCCTTCGCTGTGTATCTGGGGTCTGCATTGTGAGGGCTGGTGCTGTAGGAAGAGTTTCTGGCCTGCTCAGATTGCTTCAGTGCTGGAACCCACTTGGTCCCTGGACCATCCTGCTTCTCCACATGCTCCAATGGGGCATTCTTGAGAGGTGTTTGGTGATGAATCTGACTATTCACTTGACACTGCAGTCACTAGGCAGCTCTCTGATCACCGTGCCCATCGTCACATTGGTCATGCCCAGGGTTCTGCAGTTAGCTGCAGTGCCTCAGCTACATAGCCATGTTTAGGCAGCTCCCCAGATGATTCTCAGCCACACACTCCTGGTTAAGAGCCATTGGCATAGATGTGCTATCGTTTAATCCACCAATTCTTCTATTCTTGATGCTCAGCTTGCTTCCAATTGTTTGCTATTAAATAAAGCAGCAGTACACATCTTTGTGGTTAAATCTTTGTCCTCATTTCTGTTTTCTGGTATAAATTCTGAGAAGTCAAATTGTAGGATCATAAGACAGGTACATTTTTAAGGTGGGGTACATTTTGAATGTGGTCAGTAGTATGTGAAAATCTGGAGGTGGCTGGTGGAGTGGAGAAAGCATTGGGCCAGGTGTGAGGAGCTTGGGCTCAAGAACTGGCTCTGCTGCCCAGTAGGGCAGGGCTTTGAGCAAGTCCCTTCCCTGCCCCCAGTTTTATTTTCTTCCTTTGTAAATGAGCCTCATTACAAATCTGTCCTGAGCGATGGTACAGACATAACCATCTCTTGGTCCCACAGGCAGACGTATATAAGGAGGGTAGATTTGCTGGATTCCATGGTGGACTTGTGTGGCATCTGGCTTCCTTTTATGTAATGGTAATGGCTTACTTGAGAATTGCTTCAGGGTTTCAAAGAAGCTATCTCCATCCTCTACTAGAAAAGAAGAAAATCTAGATGACTATGTGGAGTCTATTAGTTTGTTTTTAGGCCTCAAATAGACAGATAGCGATCCAAGCACCTTGGTCCACAAAGTGTCATGGATGTGCTTGCAAAACTGCTTACTCTAATATTAATCTCACTCTTGTATCTTTACAGGGAAACTTTATGGTGGTGTTCCTTTTATAGAAGAGAGACACAGACATCGGTACGAGGTATGGCTTTCATGCTGAATTACTGGGGAATATGGATGCTTAGTGTGAGGAACCCAGTGGCTATAAGCTGAACCTCTGGGAAAGGTGTCTAGCCTGGTGGTATTCACAGGCTCAGAAAGGGCCAAATTTCCCACATTCTCCCACTTCTGGAGGAGGCGGGCGGAGGTGGGGAGACTCTCATCTTTTTGGCTTTCCAAAGGCAAAATCTTTACGTACCTACACGCGGGGCCTATCAGTGTCCTTTGTTACTCTTAACTGCCATCTTCTAGATCATGATAAGGTCATCATTTCTTATCCTTAGCCCCTACCCTTTATTTTGCCAGGTTTGGGGAAAAGAGGACTTGAATCTTCTGAGATGGAACCAGGTGCCTTTTGGGTTGGGGGTGCATCCCTGGGTATCACAAGGTGGATTCCTGGTTTGAGAACCTCTTTGGAAATTTACATGGAGCTTGAGGCTTAGTGTCACATGACTAAAATGAGTTAATTGTTGAGGTTGCCTCATGAGAAGCATAGGTTTCCAGAAATGTAGATCATATATGTCAGGATTAATGAGTGTGTCAATTATGATGCATTTCACTGTGAAGAACAGAAATCCCTGCTTGTTATCACTCAAACCAGCCTAAACATTAAGGAAATTTGTTGTCTCAGGCACCAGGTAGTCCAGAGGCTGGGCTGGCTCCAGGCATGGTACAACCAGGGCTCCTTTTGTCTCTGTGGTTATCTCAGCCCTACCCTTGTTTGTGTGTCTGCTTCGTCCTTTAGCTGGTCTCCCTCACAGTTCCCAGGTGGCTGCCAGCAGCATCTGGGACAACAGGTATCTCTCCCAAATAGGGAAATCAACTTAGATTACCTGCCCACCTGTGAACTAGTAGCCATTTTTCAGGGCAATGCTGAACATCAGTGGGCTTAAACCTGGGTTCCTGAAATGTTCATCTTTCAAAAGGGATGGGTTAATTATGTTTGGCTTAGACCAGTTAGAACCAATTTCTGGAATGGGACAGATGGAGTTTCCTGGTTCATATAGGGGTGGAGTGGATATCAGGACAAGCCTAGGGCTCTGTTTTGAAGGAGGACTCATAGGAATCAATGCTGAATAAGTAATGAACAGTGTCACTGTGACCAAGGAACATAATTTGCTAGGTGTAGGCCATTTTTGGTCTTATTTCCACTGGGAATGGCCCCAACTGGTGGGATAAAAATTATTGAGCTGCTTTGCCTCAATGGTAATGACAAGGTGCAAGAACTGCTATGTACAGGACAGCATAGCCATTCATTCATTCACACCTATTTTGCATCTGGTATGCACTGGAGATGGAAAGAGAAAAGACAGACATGGTCTCCTTTCTTGTTAGGGAGCTTATATTCTAATGGAGAGGACAAAAAATAAGATAACATAATAATTCCAGATTAAATCATATATTAGATAAGTGACTTGTATCTAAAATATATGAAGAGCTCTTATAACTCAATAACAAATAATGGCAAATGATATAGATATTTCTTCAAAGAAGATATACACATAACTAATAAGCACCTGAAAAGATGCTCAACAATCATTTGTCATCAGGGAAATACATATTCAAACCACAAAGAGATTCCACTTCACACCCACTAAGCTGGCTATAATCAAACACAGATAATAATAGCAAGTGATGGAGAGGATGTGGGGTAACTGGAACCTCCATGTGCTGCTGGTTGGAATGGAATATATTGCAGCCCCTTTGGAAAACCATATGGAAGTTTCTCAAAAGGTTAGACATAAGAATTACCATATGACCCAGCAGTTCCTCTCCTAGATATATACCCAAGAGAAACGAAAATGTATGTCCACACAAAAACTTGTACCTGAATGTTCATAGCAGCAATATCCATAATGGCCAAAAAATCAGAAACAACTAAGATGTCTACTAACTGGTGAATAGATAAGCAACGTGTGGTCTATTCATACAATGGAGTATTATTCAGCCATAGAAGGAAATGAAGTACTGATTTATGCTACAACATAGATAAACCATGCAAACATCATGCTGCGTGAAAGAAGCCCACATATTGCATGATTCTATTAATATAAAATGACCAGAATAGACAGATCTATAGATGTGGGATATAGATTAGTGATTGCCAAGAGATCAGGTCAGGGTGATGGCGGGGGCAGGGGTTGAGGGAGGAGGTTAAAGGATAGAGGGTTTGTTTTTCAGTTGATTGTGGTAATGGTTGCACACATCTGAATATACGAAAAATCGTTTGTGTATTTTAAATAGGTGAATTGTATGGTATGTGAATTATGTCTTAGAGCTGTTGAGGAAGGAAAAATCATTACAAATTATGAGAACTGGTATAATTAAAATGTAGAATAAAAGCTCTGAGGTTAAGATGGCAAAGAATAGGTGAGACCCCACCTTAATTTTAGACAGGGAAACAATTTCACTGAAGGAGAGGCTGAAAAGGAAGCCTTAAGTTTGGTACAGGGCTCAGATGAGATGAGGGCCAGAAGGGGCCACAAGCCAGGCCGTCAAGTTGCCATCTATTATGATATTTTAGTAGAAAACTTGCTCCAATCTTATCTTTAGAGCTTTTAAAAGCACTGGGGTTAGTCACAAGGGAAATAAGGTAGTTTTAATCCTCAAGAAAATTTGTGGTTTGGGGAGAGATAGGTAAGTACACATAACTCAAGGGAAGAAGCAAACATGGAAATGGCTATAAATAACTAGTCTCAAAGTTCCCAAGTCAGAATATCTGGGTCAGAGGTCTACTTTTTGAATCTCTTCTTTGGGTAATAGAGGGTGGGCCTCCCAGATTTAGGTGCTGTGGTTACATTTTATATCTTAGGTTCATCATAAGTTTAAAATTGACTTTGAGCATTGAATATTGATATTAACTACTAGTTAGAGGATCACTGAAACAGGAAACCCACCCAACTGATGAAGGACCGGGTATGGGAGCTGGTATTGCTCTATGGCCCCAAAACACTTAATTTCTTGTTTTGCAGGTAAACCCTAACATGATCAACGAATTTGAGGAGAATGACTTAAAATTTGTAGGTCAGGATGTTGATGGAGAGAGGATGGAAATCATTGAACTGGCAAGTAAGTGGGCTCTTCATTTTTGAAAAGCTTCCTGGTAACCTGCCTTTTGGTTGACAACAGATTAATTTGAGACCCAGTTTGTTTGCATTCTTTCTTTTCTTCTCTCCTTTGAAATAAATATGTAATTATAAAGTACATGAAAAAAACCAGACTGCTGGCCAGGCATGGTGACTCATGCCTTTAATCCCAACATTTTGGGAGGCCGATGTAGGCAGATCACCTGAGGTTAGGAGTTCAAGCCCAGGCTGGCCAACATGGTGAAACCCCATCTTTACTAAAAATATAAAAATTAGCCAGGTATGGTGGTGTGCTCCTGTAGTCCCAGCTACTCAGGAGGTTGAGGCAGGAGAATAGCTTGAATCCAGGATGCAGAGGTTGCAGTGAGCAGAGATTGTGTCACTGCACTCCAGCCTGGGCAACAGCAAGACTTGGTCTCAAAAATACAGACTGCTTATAATCCTAATCATTTTGGGGCCTATTAGTCTGACTACACCATAAAATGATGTATTATTCCAAGCCTACCAGTTCTACAAGCAGTATGCTTCCTTACCAACTCCTGTCTTTCTGAGGCTACTTGTTTGTGCCAGCCTCTAGGTTAGGTGCTCTGGGAAAAGCAGAGTGGCACTGTTGAATGGTACCCTGCCTGCTCTCCTCCTTTATGGAAGAATAGCCAAGTGCCACCTCATTTAATGCTGATATCTGTTACGTGAGGGACCTGGCTTCTCTCCTGCCTTTCTCCACTGTGCTGGGTGGTCAAGCATGGGTCAGTCATTTTACTTCTGAACACTACTCACTGTCACCAGAGTTCTTTTTAAGACCAAACAGAACAGAAATAAAGGCATCGGAAGAACACCAAAGTTGTTGTTAGTAACTAGGCTGGAACACCTGTGAGCACATAGGCACAAACTACACATTTATTATTGATGAGACAGAAGGCAGTGTTCTTCTCGATCATCTTTGCAAGGACATGGTAAGCTCATGGTCACAGCTGGTCTCAGCTCTTTGTCTTGATGTTCTAGCCCAGGGGCTGGCAAACTATTGCCTGTGCACCATGTTCGGCCTACTGTTTACAGCAAGCTTATGAGCTGAAAATGATTTTTTACGTTTTTTAATGGTTAAAAAAATTTTAAAAAGAAGACTGCCTATGACATGTGCAAATTATGTGCCATTCAAATTTGTGTCCATAAATAAAGTTTTAGTGGAACACAGTTTAGGGGTGGAAAGGTGTTATCTGTGACCTTCTTCTTACCCATCATAAGGGTCATGACCAACAGCCCTATAACAAGATAGGTTGACAAGAGAAAAGTATAACAAATGTATTTAATCAAAGTTTTATGAGACACGTGAGTTTTCAGGAATGAAGACCCAAAGACCTAGGGAAAACTTCATTTTTATCTTAGGTTCGTTGAACAGTGGACAGCCATGTAGCAATGTGATTGGACAAAAGGGCATACTCTAATGGTAACAGACTGACGGGAAACCCAGAAAGGCCTGTCTGCTCAGATTCTTCTTGGCCTCTCTCTGTAGCATCCCATTCCCCCAGGTCTAGAGCAGGATTCATCTGGAATGAGGGTTTTATGACCTACTTTTAGGAAAGGTAGGTAGTTCAGAGAATTTCTTTATGGCCAGCTTTCACACGGAAAGGCGGGAGAACATCAGAGTGACCTTCTTGCTTCGGAGGTCTTCCTAGTCGCCTTCTGTTCAAAGTACTTTAGGGTAGCGTTTTCTGAGCCCTGACAACAGCAACACTCATTGATTTATGTCTTGTCTATGGCTGCTTTTTATTTTTATTGTCTTTGAGACAGGGTCTAGCTCTGTTACCCAGGCTGGAGTGCAGTGACATGATCATGGCTCACTGCAGTCTTGACCTCTTGGGCACAAACAATCCTCCCACCTTAGCCTCCTGAGTAGCTGGGGCCACAAGTGTGCATCACCCTGCCTGGCTAACTTTTTTTTTTTTTTGAGATGAAGTCTCACTCTGTTGCCCAAGTTGGAGTTCAGTGGCACAATCTCAGCTCACTGCAACCTCCACCTCCTGGGTTCAAGCAATTTTCCTGCCTTAGCCTCCCGACTAATTTTTGTGTTTTTTTTTTATTAGAGATGGGGTTTCACTGTGTTGGCCAGGCTGGTCTTGAACTCCTGACCTTGTGATCCTCCCACCTTGGGCTCCCAAATTGCTGGGATTACAGGGGCGAGCCATCACGCCTGGCCAATTTTTAAATTTTTTGTAGAGGCCATGTTGCTTAAGCTGGTCTCACCTGGGCTTAAGGCATCTTCCCTCCTTGGCCTCCCAAAATGCTGAGATTACAGGCATAATGTGATCTCATGAACAGCTGCATCTGGCCTATGGCTGTTTTTTATGCTACCATGGCAGAGATGAATAGTTAAGAAAGAGACCTTATGACTCACAAAGCCTGAAATATTTACCCTTTACAGAATATTGACCCTTTACAGAAACATTTGCTAACTCCTGGGCTAGACTCACACGCATACACTTCATTTAACTAACTTGAATTTAACATTTTCACATGCCTCCTTGACTTATTTGTCTATTTGGATGTTCTCTTGACACTTCCATCTCAACTTATTTAAAACTAAATTTACATGCTCTCCCTATTAGTTCATTCTCCTGACTGTTTCTGTTAAGATGTCATCAGTCTCACTGTCCAGGATTTCTCAGCCTTGCCACTGTTGATTGACATTTGGAGTGGGATAATACTTTGTTGTGGAGGCTGTCCTGTGCACTGTAGAGCAAGCTTGTTCAACCCACTGCCCGCGGGCTGCATGCAGCCTAGGACGGCTTTGAATGCCGCCCAACACAAATTCGCAAACTTTCTTAAAACATTATGAGATTCTTTTGCATTTTTTTTTTTTTAGCTCATCAGCTATCATTAGTGTTAGTGTATTTTATGTGTGGCCCAAGACAATTCTTCTTCATGTGGCCAATGTTGTGACAATCCAAAATATCTCCAGACATCATAAAATGCCCCTGGCGGGCCAGGTGCAGTGGCTAACACCTGTAATACCAACACATTGGGAGGCCAAAGTGGGAAGATTACTTGAGACCAGGAGTTCCAGACCAGCCTGGGCAACATGGTGAGACCCTCTCTCTACAAAAAAATTAAAAAATTAGGTGGGCATGGTGGCTCGTGCCTGTGGTCCCAGCTACTCGTGAGGCTGAGGTAGAAGGGTCTCTTGAGCCATGATCATGCCACTGCACTCCAGCCTGGGTGACAGAGCAAGACCCTATCTCAAAAAAAAAAAAAAAAAAAAAAAAAAAAAGAGAGAGGGAGAGAGAATGAGAGAAAGAAAGAAAGTCCTGGGGTGGGGGCACATTTGCCCCTGGTGGAGACTCATTCTACTAGACTATCAGGCTAGAAATTTCAAATATTAGCTCGTCTTCCCCTTCAGATCCCAACTTGTAGTGGATTGTCAAGTCCTGCAGATTCTGCCTCTGGAAGGAAAGCTGGTGTTTGGAATTGCATTGCTCCCCCTAAAACACTAGTCCCAGTGCATGCCAACCCCAGCTCACATTTGTCCTCAATCTCCTTCCTGCTTCCAAGCACCGCTTCTCCTATACCACCTAACAAGGACAGAACTCTGCAGTGTGTAGTGACACTAATTTGTTGGATAAACCACTCTCGTATATTGGTACAAATGTGTGCAGGATACTGTAAAAAATGGTAGCGTGATGTTCCAGAACCTACACTTCCAGCCTATATGCTTTAGGCTCCAGATAAACTGGATTACCTACCGCATCTTCTAACCTCCCTCTTCTTTCTCCATCTTAGCACTATCACTTCTTTTCTCTGTCTCTTTCCCTTTTTGTCTCTGATCCGTTCACGTACTTCTAGAGTCCTGAGCAGAGGGGAGAATTGAAGTCTGAGAAGGCTTCTTTGAACAGAGCAGCATTTTACCTAGACCTGAAAGAAGGAAAGCAATGGACATTTAGTGTGCACTTACTGGATGCTTGTCAGTAGACCTCTTGCTAGGGACTTTGCATACCTTATGTAACTAACAAAACAGGTGATGCTATTCCCACTTCACAGAGGAGACCAGGGTGCAAAGAAGCTAAATGACAGGCCCAGGGCCATCCAGCTAGTCTTGTGGGGCAAGAGCAAACCCAGGTGGTTACCTCCTTCTGCCACCACTGCTGTGGGATTTTATTATTCTGCTTGTTTTCACATTCTACCTAAGGTGATGAATTCATGCTTAGAGTTTTGAATTAGAATAGTAAGTATGCATTTCCAGGAGTTTTTCTGATGGAAATGACCATCATTTAGAATTAAAATGTGGATCTTGCTGTTGGCATTGAAGCCTCTTAAATCTTCCTAGCATGTGAGAAGGCAGAAAATTTCTTAAGCAAATTACTATTTGTTTACTTTGTTTAAGTACTTATTCACTTTTAATTCTCCTGGTTCTCATTACTGTCATCAAATACTTAGAAGCTTCTTTTATCATAAGGATTTAGACTCCCATTGAGGCTTTCAAATTTCATGTGGATTGAAAAGGAAATGAGAGCTGCTGTAAAACCTTGCAGTTTTTAAAAGCTGACCGCAAGCAGTTATTAAGGAAAATTCCCCAGAAGATTTTGATCGTAGGTACCCCTTGGAAACATATCCATGAATCTCCACTGTTCCTGAAGGGTTCTGACAGGAACAACAAAGCTTGAGATTAATATTATATAACTTCAGAATTTGGTTTAAAGCAATCAAAAGCATTATTTTAAAGACAATTTTATCTGGCTGATAGAACATCATCAAAATAAAAGCTTTTTAGTTTCCCCTCATATTGGTGTAGAGGATTTTTTGGATAAAGTGATTCAGAGCAATGATCCATTCATTCACATATTCTGTCCCTGGCTATTACATGATTACATTGCTTAGTCCGTCTGTAGAGATATGAAAGCACAATTACTGCCTGCTTTTTTTTTTCCAAAGATGTCCCTAGATGTTCTGCAGTAAGATTTATTGTCTCTTAAATTTAAAGCTACGTTGCTTAATTTCTTCTCTAAGTGGATGACTTCTCTGCATTTCTTGAGGGAATACATTGCTAGGAGAAGGTGGCATTCCCCTTATCAGGCTTTCTTACCTGTATGTTCCTCTAATTCAAGGAGGTTTCTTCTTAGATGTAGAGGATTTCTACACTGGATTTTTCTGTGATCAGAGCTGTCCTATAGAACTCACTGCAATGTAAAAACCTTTTTAAATTAAAATTAAAACCTTTTTAATTTTTTCTTTTTTTCGTTAAAAAAGAAAAAATTAAAAAAACTCACTGCAATGATAGAACTAGTCAGCCCTATCCAATATGGTAGCCTTTAGCCACATGTGACTTTGAACATGTCTCAAATGCTCAATTAATTTTAATGAATTTAAGTAGCTACGTGTGGCTAGTGGCTACCATTTTCCATAGTAGAGCTTTTTAAAAAAACATAATTTCAACTTTCATTTTGGATGCAGGAGTATATGTGCAGACCTTTTTTTTTTTTTTTTTTTGAGACAGGGTCTCACTTGGTCACCCAGGCTGGAGTGCAGTGGCATGATCATGGCTCATGGCAACCTCCACCTCCTGGGCCGAAGTGATTCTCCCACCAAGTAACTGGCCTCCCAAGTAACTGGGACCACGGGTGCACGCCACCACGCCCAGCTAATTTTTGTATTTTTTGTACAGACAGGGTTTCACCATGTTAGCCCAGCTGGTCTTGAGCTCCCAGGCTCAAGCAATCTGCCCACCTTAGCCTCCCAGAGAGCTGAGATTATAGGTGTGAGTTACTGTGCCTGGCCCACGTGCAAATTTGTTACGTGGGTATATTGTGTGATGCTAAGGTTTGGGATATGGATTCCATTACCCAAGTACTGACCAGAGTACCCAACAGATAGTTTTTCAACTCTTGCACTCCCCTCTCCGTCCCCACTCTGGTAGTTCCCAGTGTCTATTGTTCCTATCTTTATGAGTACCTGATGTTTAGCTCCCATTTGTAAGTGAGAACATGCAGTATTTGGTTTTCTGTTCCCATGTTAATTCACTTAGAATAATGGACCCCAGCTGCATTCATGGTGCTGCAAAGGACATGGTTTCATTTTTATGGCTACATGCTATTCCATGGTATATATGTACCACATTTTCTTTATCCAATCCACCATTGATGGGCATCTAGTTGATTCCATGTCTTTGCTATTGTGAATACTGCTGCCATGAACATATAAGTGCATGTGTCTTTTTTTGTAGAGTGATTTGTTTTCCTCTGGGTATATACCCAGTAATGGGATTGCTGAGTTAAATGGTAATTCTGGTTTAAATTCTTTGAGAAATCTCCAAACTGCTTTCCACAGTGGCTGAAATAACTTACATTCCCACCAATAGTAGGTTTTCTTTTCTCCACAGCCTTGCCTGCATCTGTTGTTTTTTGACTTTTTAATAATAGCCATTCTAGCAGGGCTTTAAATGATTACCTTAGGAAAGTAGACATTTGCATTCAATCATCATTTCCCTATTACTGTAGTAGTAGCTTTGGATCTTTGGTGGTAAGTGATAGGAATTTGTGATTTTGAATTCCATACTAGATTTTAGATCATTTGATAAAGTACCTCATTGAAACCTTTAAAGTTATATTTTCTTCCCCCTCTAAAACTTACTATATTTTATTATCTTTAGTTTGAGTCATAGCCAGGGACAGGATATTTGAATGAATGGATCATTGCTCTGAATCACTTTGTCCAAAAAATGCTCAGTTTTATGGTGCTATGATTAATACCCAACTTAAAGCTGTGACTAGAAAAGCAGTTGTCCTGCTGTATTCCCAAGGATAGCTCAATGGGTTGATATTGTACTGGTTTATACCAGGGGAAAGGAGAAGACCTTGCAGGAAATGGCCTGAAGCCACGTAAAGGAAAGAAAGACCCAGGGTTAGCTTAAAGTCCAAGGGAAATCGAACCAACATAAATCTACAAAGTGCCTTCAAAAAGCAGGCAGATTTTGGGAAAGCAGAGTTCTTCTTGCCATTCAAAAATTTTTGCTTGACTTTGCTCACTCTGACACCTTCCACATATAAAATTTCCAAGATGTGTTTTACAATTTGAAATTCCATGCAGGAATGGATGGATAGTATAAGGAACTGACTGTAATGATAGGTTAAAGAATCATCTTGTCATTTAATGAGCTTTTATGTTCAAAGATAAGAAGACCTTTAAAGCAGTTCTCATGTTTGTCTGCTTTAATCACATCATGATTGTTCTCATTTCAGATCATCCCTATTTTGTTGGTGTCCAGTTCCATCCTGAGTTTACTTCTAGGCCGATGAAGCCTTCCCCTCCGTACCTGGGGCTCTTACTTGCGGCAACTGGGAACCTGAATGCCTACTTGCAGCAGGGTTGCAGACTGTCTCCCAGGTAACCAGCTTACTGATCTTAGCAATAAAACAAGATGCATAGTATTAGCATCTTAGGGTTTCTTACAAAAATCAATGCCATTATAGAATTTTTTTTATGTGAAGAGTCAGTTTTATTCTCTTAATTTTCTCCTCTTCATGAAAATAATTTAATCACGCCTACAGTAGTAATATGTCAGCTTTCCAAATCATGATGACACTGGATATTATTTTAGAAATTTTTTTCATTTGATAAGTGAAAAGATTTTCTTTTGTTGATTCTTTGATTAATGTATATGAATATTTTATATGTTTCTTGGCTCCTTGTTTTGTGAATAGCTTGTTCATATCTTTTCTTGATTTTGGTATTGTATTATTTTCCTTACTTATTGGTAAGCTCTTTATGTATAAAGGTCATTAATCCTTTGTTAGGCTGCAAATATTTTTCATGGTGATTTTGCCTTCCTTCCAAATTGTTAATGGTAGTTTTTATTCTCCCTAAAGAGTTTAGTCCTTTTTTATGTTTTTAAAAAATGTATGTAGTCAAATATTTTACTTTTGTGGATTCTGCCTTTAGTCTCATGCCTAACATCTTTCCTTATGGAACGATTATGTAAATAATAACCCCTGTGTTTTCCTCTAGTACTTTTGTGGCTTCAATTTTATAGTTTGTAATCTATATGGATTTTATTTTCAGTGGAATCTGTGAGGCTAGGATTTGGCCAATGAGTTGAGTAATTTGACTTTGTTTCAGGGATTTCTATTTTGTTCTGTTGATGGTTTTATTTCTTACACCTGAACTTTTACCATCCTTTTCATTTTCATAGTGTTATTATAAATCTAGACCTTATCGATCCTACTTCCACCATTATTAAAATTTTTAATGTATTTTGCTATTCTTCCAGGCAAACTGTTATTTATTTATTATTTTCTTAGAGACAGGGTCTGGCTCTGTCACCCAGGTTGGAGTGCATTGGCACAATCATAGTTCACTGCAGCCTTGAACTCCTAGGCTCAAGCAATCCTCCTGCCTCAGTCTCCCAAATAGCTAGGACTACAGGCACACACCACCATGCCTGGCTAATTTTTAAAATTTATTATTTTTGTAGAGATAAGGTCTCAGTATATTGTCCAGGCTGGTCTTGAATTATTGACCTCAAGCAATCCTCCCTCCTTGGCTTCTTGAAGTGCTGGGATTATAGGTATGAGCCACTGTGCCCAGCCTGTACAATGATTTTTAAAAATCAAGTTTGAATAAAAAATCCTTAGGGATATTTTTTAAAAATGGAAATTTATTACATTTATTTGTTTATTTAGAGACAGGGTCTTGCTCTATTGCCCAGACTAGAGTGCAGTAGAGCAATCTCGGCTCACTGCAACCTCCACCTCCTGGGTTCAAGAGATTCTCCTGCCTCAGCCTGCCAAGTAGGTGGGACTACAGGTGTGCGCCACCATGCCCAGCTAATTTTTGTGTTTTTATTAGAGACAGGGTTTCACCATGTTGGCCAGGTTGGTTTTGAACTCCTGACCTCAAGTGATCTGCCTGCTTTGGCCTCCCAGTTGAGATTACAGGCATGAGCCACTGTGCCTGTCTGAAATTTCATTACATTTAAATACTAGTTTGGGGAGAGTTTATTTTTATTTCTTCTCATCCAAGAATATTGTACCTAATAACTTTAAAAGCTGAAGTAACCAGCCAGCATATCATAGATTTGATAGGGGTTACTGCCGTAATAACCAGATATATGTTGTTTAGAAGACTACCACTGCCAACCCTCCTTCTGGCAAACAACACTTGCAGTGTTGCCATTGAGGGCTGCCAGGATTTGTGTATGGTGTGCATGTGTGTGCTTGTTATACAAGCCTGCTTATTTGTGTCATTACCTGCTAGGAGAAGCTCACAGCTCTCTAGCACTTCCTTTCGCTGTGTGTTCATATGGGAACAGCTTCACATATTTTGCACTTTGGGCATCTTACTGAATTAATGTTCACCCCTTTCAGTCGTGAACCAGTGCACTGACTTTCAAACTGTGCCCTCGGAGCTGGAGTCTGGGCTGCTGCGAGGAGCAGGCCGTGGAGACTCTGGGCTCTTTCCGGCTTCAGCTGAGCAGCTCCACTTTATCTGGCTCATGTGCCGTGGTTCTGCAAGAGATTTCATCTGAAGAAGAGCTTCCTGTGTTCTGAGACTGCTTCCTGTGTTCTGTGGCTTATGCCACAAATTGGACATCCTTGTGTGCTCCCATGTCAGATGTGCGCTGTGACCCTTTGTGGCCATTTTACAATTCCCATTATTTTAGATTCTCACACTGAAAGGAAGGTGATAGTGGGACAACATAGATGGCTGGGTGAAATAATTCACTTGTAACTATCTAGCTGTTTGCAAATACTGACTAATATACAAATCCCATCTGGCTCGTGTGGACTGCCCACCTTTGTTTTTTATGGCCTGCCAATTCCCACATGGGGGTGGTGGTGCCGGGTAAAGCTTCTAGCAGGGTGCAGTGGCTCATGTCTGTAATCCCAGCACTTTGGGAGGCCAAGGTGGGTGGGATCACCTGAGGTCAGGAGTTCGAGACCAGCCTGGCCAACGTGGTGAAACCCCGTCTCTACTGAATGTACAAAAATTAGCCAGACCTGGTGGCACATGCCTGTAGTCCCAGCTACTAAAGAGGCTGAGGCAGGAGGATGACTTGAACCCAGGAGGCAGAGATTGCAGTGAGCTGAGATTGCACCACTGCACTCCATGAACTCCAGCTTGGGTGACAGAGCGAGACCCATCTCAAAACAAAAAACAAAAAACAAAAAAAATGTTCCCGTTAGTTTATGAAAAAACCAACTGATTGCTAGTGACTTCTTAGCAAGATATAATTTATCTCAGAGAGAAGGAAAGATCTTATAACCATATTCTGATGCTGGCATTGGAGTTATAGCTGACTAGTAGGCTTCCATGGCACTGAGGGAATTCCTATGTGTATCAGCCACAAACTGAAGCATTCCTTAAGGCCAGCCAACATCTTATTTATCTTTGTCTCCCTGGCTCCCTTGCACACAGGGTTGTTCATTACCCATTAAAGTAATAAATGCACGTAGGAGGGGAGTACACATTTCAGTGAGTTTTCCAACTAAGGATGGTGACTATGAATTAATCCAGTGACAGATACCAGGATTCCAGAGGAACCTTGCACTTCAGCTCCTCTCTGCCCAGCTCCATGGGATTAGTGAGCTTTGAAAAGCAAATGACTGCTCTGATACCATGCTCTAATGTGAGCTGAGTTGGGGCTGTGTTTCTATCAAACAAGATTACTGCTTGTAATCAACACTAAACAAATGTGACAAGGAATACAAACACTAGAATAATGACTTCCTTTCCCAGAAGTTAGCTCTGATGATATTCAACTGTATGGCACGTGTACACCCAGTGTCTTTAAAGCATGAAGTGTAAAAATCCTTGGCTTTGAGTCAAGTGTACCTGAGCTGTAACTTCTGCATTCTGCCTAGTGGAGAGCATTTAACTTTTAAGTCCTGGGAAGTTAAAATAAGAATATTATTTTGGGATTTACAGCTAGTGAGCTAAATTCTCAGCTACTTCATAATCTACAAAATGGCAGCAGTTAGGAAGATCAATTCCACCTGGTTTTAGACTTGTAGTGGTCAGTTCAAGGGCATAGTAGCTTCAGGACAGTATTTTTTAGATTTTCATGAGCTATTCAAAAATACATGCAAAATCAAACTAAGAATCTTGTTTAGTGGGTCCCCTTAAGACTGCCCACACTTTGGTGATTTGCTGGAAGTAATCAGAATATAGCTGTACTTATAGCTAATATTTATTTATTTATTTATTTAGAGATGGAGTTTTGCTCTTGTTGCCCAGGCTGGAGTGCAATGGCATAGTCTTGGCTCACTGCAAACTCCACCTCCTGGGTTCAAGTGATTCTTGTGTCTGAGCTTCCTGAGAAGCTGGGATTATAGGTGCCTGCCATCACGCCCAGCTAATTTTTGTATTTTTAGTAGAGAGGGGGTTTCACCATGTTGGCCAGGCTGATCTTGAACTCCTTACCACTGGTGGTTCATGTGCCTCGGCCTCCCAAAGTACTGGGATTATAGGCATGAGCCACCATGCCCGGCCTTATAGCTAATATTTATTACGGTGGCAAAGTAAACATGCACAGCAAGATCAATAATGGGAAGGATAAGTAGAATTTGGAGAAATTCATTTGCACATTTCCTATGCTCTCTCTTTCCTGTGATAAGTCACATAGAGGTCACCTTCCTTCCAGCAGTGAAAATGTAACTATGCATATGTGATGTTTCTGCCCAAAGGAGCCAGTTTGAGATTCAGAGTTTAGGGATATTTCTGGGGCTGGTCACATAGGCATTTTCTACCTAGCAACCACCAAAATTTCAGACTGCCAAAGGGAAAGCAGGTGTTCACCGTAGATCACATTGTTTGTTGGACGGCGTAAGCCCAGCGAAAGGACTTTATCGTTTAGTAATGGTCCACACATTCCGAAAGCTGTGTTCCCAGACACCAGCCAAGAACTAACCCTGTAAGCAGGGTCTTCTAAAGATAGCAGCCTCAGGCCTGCTGTTAACTCTTCTTTACACGAGTCTAAAAAACCATTTTGAGAATAAATAAATCCAATGGAAAGTAGTGGTCCATTAAATACATCATTGCAATTCTTTGCTGATCTCTCTCCTGTGATGTCTAAACATAATTTGTCTTATGTATAAAAGGCAACCACAAATTTGCATGGCCTTGCTGACACATAATGTAAAGGAATGAGACTGCTTCATGTAATTATAAGAAATAAATTTCATGAGAATATATGAAGGTGCTTGTAATTGCCAGTTTTTTGTTTGTTTGTTTAAATCTAGAAACAGAGCATCTAATCTCTTTCTGGAATTTTTTTTTTTTTTTTTTTTTTTTTTAGAGGCAGGGTCTCCCTATGTTGCCCAGGCTGGTCTCAAACTCCTGGGCTCAAGCAATCTGCCTGCCTTGGCTTCTCAAAGTGCTGAGATTAC